CTTCCCATATCCCATCTCTTATCTGTAAACAAATCCTTAAAGCCTTGTTATTTCAGTTCTGATGTCAGCAAAAGTCCATTAAGGGTTACCAGAAATAATAACATATCTATTTTAACCTTGATCAGATAAAACAACTTTATATTCCTTCTTTTATTTCTAACAATCTTGATCTTTAGTCCCTTCAAATAATGTCCTAGAACTTGATTTTTTTTATTTTTTTATTTATTCCTTCTCACAAAATTCTTCAAAACTTTAAAAAGCCTCTTTTGTAAATCCAATATAGGAAAATTATCCAGGTTACTCCCTTGGTTTGTTAAAGGATTCACTAAGGATTGAAGAAAACTCACCTGGTGCTGTAAAACTTGTCAGTCCCAAGGTTGTATTGTCGAAGGCTTTCACGGCCAGCATACGATGGCTGGTGGGGGGCTTCTGGGCTGTGTGGCCGGGTTTTTGAAGTTTTGTTTCCTTACGTTTCGCCAGCACCTGTGACCGGCATCTTCGGAGTGCAGGAGCACAGACAGGAGCAGTTCCCTCTGTGCCCAGAGTGATGTGACCCCTTTGTGGGTAGCAAATGGCAAATTAACAAATTAACAAATGCCAAAACAATCAACCAAAACTGGCGCTGGATCCCACCCGCATTGTCATCAATTTGATGGAACGCCAACTCACGCCAGAAGAAACTGCCATCCTAGCCAAGGGAGGAAACTTCGCAATCACACCCCCCAGAATTCCTGTGGAAGATATCATCGCCAATGTGGACTCACCCATCCGCAACCGTCCTGAAGAGGAAGCAGAGGAAATAAGGGGTGAGATAGCAAGGATCCTACGGAGAGCAAAGCCCCCCACCAGCAACATAACGAGGAAAGAGAGAAATGCCATAGAAACCCTCAATTCGGACGCCGATATCATCATCCTGCCAGCTGACAAGGGCAACGCCACGGTAATTATGAAAACAGATGAATACAAAGACAAAGTTAGAGAACTACTAGACCCCACCACATACAGAAAACTAAAACGGGATCCGACTAGCAAAATCATGAAACAAACCAACACCCTGACGAGGAGCTCCTCCCTTCACCCCAACATATTTCAACGCATATGCCAGGCAGAAGCCCGTCCACCCAGTCTATACGGACACCCAAAAATCCTCAAAGGCTTGATCCCACTCAGACCCATCAT